TGCTGGGTTCCGGCGATCTTTCCGCCTCAGCCTTCCAAGGAGCCGGAATTACAGGCATGCACTATCACGCCTGGCTGATTTTTTGATTTATTGTAGAGATGAGGTCTCGCTGCCCAGGCGTGTCTCGAACCCGCGGGCTCAGGCAATCCACTCACCTCAGCCTCCCAAAGGCGCGGGATTACAGGCTGAGCCACCCAGCCCGGCTATTATGAACTCTTAAAGAAAAAACCTGAACAATTTTAAGGAAAAATTGACAAGTTCATTATCATAATGGGGAGATTTTAAAGAGTGCTACCAGAAACTGATAGATGAAGCAGACAAAAACATTAGTAATGCAGAAGCTTTGAAAACCAAATTTAAAGCTTATCTAATAGATCAAGAGAACTCTATACTCAGGGAAAAGGAAATATATATTCCTTTCAAGTATACATTGAACATTTACAAGAATTGACCACATACTAGATTACAAAGGAAATCTCAACCACTTAGAAAGAATGTATATACAGATACATTTCTATCCTCAAAGCAAGTTAAATAAAAATTGGCCTTAGATAATTTTTAATGTGCTTGTAAACTTCAATAAGTACTTTCCTACATAGCTCACAGGTTGAAGAAGAAATCACAATGAAAATTGCAAAATATTTGGAATTGCATGACAGAGAATTAGTCAAAATTTGTAAAATACTGCTAATGTGATTTATTTGTTAAACTATTACAAAATAACAAAGAAGATTGAAAGTAAATGAGCTGGCCAGGTGCAGTGGCTCCCATCTATAATCCTAGCACTTTGGGAGGCTGAGGTGAGAGATTGTCTAAGCCCGCAGGTTCGAGACCAGCCTGGGCAACTTGGTGAGACCTCATCTCTACAATAAATCAAAAATTAGTCAGATGTGGTGGCACGTGCCTATAGTTCCAGCTACTTGGATCACCTGAACCCAGCAGGTCGAGGCTGTGATGGCTGTGAGCATGCCACTGCACTCCAGCCTGGGCGACAGAATGAGACTCCAACTCAAAAAAAAAAAAAAGAAAGTAAATGGACTTTCAACCCAAGAAACCAGAAAAGGAACTCCAAAGAAAACCTTAAAAATTTGCATTTCTCTGATGATGAGTGAGGCTGAGCACTTTTTCATGTGTCTGTTGGCTGCCCGTATATCTTCTTTTGAGAAGTTTCTATTCATGTCTTTTGCCCACTTTTTATTTATTTATTTATTTTTTGAGTTGGAGTCTCACTCTGTCACCCAGGCTGGAGTTAAAGGGGCTGTTTGTTTTTTTCTTTTGGCACATTTGAGTTCCTTGCAGATCCTAGATGTTAGGCCTTTGTCAGATAAACAGTTGGCAAACATATTTTCCCATTCTGTGGGCTGTCTCCATGCTCTCTTGATGGTTTCTTTTGCTTTGCAGAAGCTCGTTAATTTGATGAGGTCCCACTTGTCTATTTTATTTCTTAAGGTATTGACCTTTAGGGCTCCCCTATTAGGAATATACCCAGAGGAACTCAAATCATTCTACAGAAAAGATACCTGCACACGTATATTTGTTGCAGCTCTATTGACAATAGCAAAAACATGAAACCAGCTATGTTGCCCATTGAAGCTAGACTGGATTTAAAAAATGGTGCATATACATGATGGAATATTATGCAGCCATAAAGAAGGACAAATATATGGACTTTACGGCAATTTGGATGGATTTGGAGTCGATCATACTCAGTAATTTATCACAGAAACAAAGAACAGAGTTCCATATGTTCTCACTCATAAATGGACCTTGAACAATTATAATGCTATAAGAAAACGATTGGCAGTAGTGGGAAACTGTCAGGGGAGAGAGGGTGGGATTGGCAGTTGAGGGAAACT